TTCAGCACCGGTCATGACTCAATCCAGTAGCTGTACCACCATATCAATGAGTACTCTTTGATAATTTATATAAGTGCAATTTCAGTAGCGGCTTTAACCATTGTGAGGTTCCAGACAGCAGATCTTTATGAGACCTTTGTCTTTTGCGATATAGGCGCTAAATCGCCTGTTTGTTAGACAAATTCATGCATCTACAGATTAAATTGTTATTCTGGTAGGATCATATTTTTTCAATTCAGTTTTTCTTGCATTTATGTCTGTGTGCTGCAAATCTACTCTTTCATATTTACATAACAGATGATAAAACGCCCCTCTTCTAGTTATATTCGATTCAATTCATGCAATGAGATTCGTGTTATGAAACCCTGATGACGCTCCTAGATGTTAGCGATTCTAGAATAAAATTACAATTTATTCTGTGGATGCATGAAGTTTACTTGTTAAGTTCAACATAATCAACAAATTTCATACTCTTCACACTAACACCACGAAAGACTGAATAAGGGATGTGATTCGATGGCCATTCTACTTGGTGGTCCTAATAGCGTAGTTGGTTAATGCGCCTGTCTAGCGGACTGGGGTAACAGGTTAGAATTCTGGTCGATTCAAATTTTTTCAATTCAGTTTTTCTTTCATATATATCTGCATACCACAAATCTACTCTTTCATAGAAAATAATAAAGCTGGCCATCCTAACCAATACAGAGTCTTCACATAATAACTGTTTTATAAATAATTATTAACTAAAATCTTCAAAATTTCTTTAAAGGATATAGGTCAAAGGTATTGAATGAATTTTAAATGGAATTACCTTGATTGCCAGTTTTTTCCTACCATTCTCAGCCGCAGTGTTAGCTATCTCACTATAAGAAATGCCTGAAGTATAACCTAGTTTCTCTGCAATTTCTCTGGCCACTGTCTCTTCTTCTAACTGAGACTGACTAACCTATAAATTTGATCACAAATACAATTATGGATTTTTTCTCTGAAATAAAATTTTAAAAATTGAAAAACGAAGTAGATACTTGATCAAAACACACTATTAGGACGCTTTTCATTGACAATAAAATGAAATGTTTTCTGGTAAATAAATGTGACGAGACTTATGTAAGGATAAATTTATCAACTCCGCCAGTTTAAATAAAAACCATTTACAAACAATTGTCAGATTACCACTGAAAATCCACTGTCACTTGGCACAAAATATGTATTATTGTATATTACATGGTCATATTTTCAGTAACAAATGAAGAAGATGCAATGTGTTAATGTTCAAAGGTACATTCATGATTTTCAACCAGACACATTTCCTTACACTGTAAATTCACTATTTTTGAGCCTGTTTATAATTTCACTGATTAAAATTGAGAAATTGAAGATATCAGCCTCTAAATTAATATCGGAGTGTGTTGGATATTATCCTAACGCCATCTATTTCTGGTATTAAGGAAATAGGGCCATCATAGGAGTATGACATTTTCTGGCCATATTTACCAACTACTAGAAGGGTGTGGTCATTTTCGAAATACAAGACTACTGCTTCATTTCCACACCTATTAAAAAATAACAAATATAAACTGAACTTTGTAGCGCAAGGTTCAATTCTGGGGCCATTGCTTTTCTCACTATTTCTCAATGACCTCCCAATAAATGTTGATAGGTGCTTTTATTTCATTAATTTTGCTGATGACACAACATTTGGTAGAGCTGAATCATCTATGGAGGATATGATTCTATCGGTTGAACTCGTTATTAGTGAAATGACAAAATATTGTCATTTCAATAAACTGCTGCTGAATGCACAAAAAATAATTGAATATTTCAATAAGAACAATCTGATTGATAATGAAGTCCTTCAGACACATAATTCGACTGAGTTTCTGGATGAAATGACTGATAAGTCACTCCCATTGTCACAATTTTGCAATTGTGATATGAACTTCATGAGACTATTCTTATCCAAGTTTATTAAGCATTAGTATATTCTGCATTATAAATTCACATCATGTTAGGGATAATACCCATCAAAAAAACAATAACTAACCAAGCTAAAGCCCCGCATTGTCTTCGATTTGGAAGATTTGTCGCAAATTATTTCTCACTATGAAAAGCAGAAATTAATTTCATTTGGTCGATTTGACCAACCAATAGACCGGTTTCGGAGTGATTGCCCCCATCATCAGTACCGGGCATGATCTCTTCAGAACAAATATAATTCCAGCTAGTCACAGAATCTCTCTGCAGTTGATTCAGTGGGAAGTTCACTGCGCCACCTGCAGCCAGAAAACAACTCCACCAGAAAACAACTCCACAAGCATACTCCGGGGTGGGAGTCGGAATAATGATTAACATTACGGAGAGGTGCATTATGGCATGCTCAAGGTTGCCCTTTTCCTCTCATGCAGACCTACGACTTTGTAGTTTTGCTTCAACTCCCTGCGCGGCATTAGCTGGGTTAGTTGTTGTTTTTCCGTTAGGTGCCTGCCACACATAGCTACAAAGTCGTAGGTCTGCATGAGAGAAAAGGGGCAACCTTTAGCATGTCATGATACACCTCTTCGGAATATTACTCCTAGAGCCCATGCTAGGAATCGCAAGTTGAAAGGTAAGACCTCGCTAATCCTTAGCTTGCCACACGTTTCGATATTTGAGAATTGTAGTTCGTATGGGGGCGATAGCAGGCTAAAACAGACTTCAATCAGATTTTTTTTTAACTTCGCAGGGTTTTCAAAATGTCGTTGGCCACTTTTTCTGAGACGAAGAATAACATTATAATCCAACTAATGCAAATGACCTGTCATTTTCATTTACTAGAATAGCAAGGGCTGAGAGCCGCGAAGTTTTCGACTACTTTTCAATCATTTTTAACATTGATAAAAGCTTTTTTTTGACAGACTATTACAGCTGTTGTGACAATAATTCTCAGGACGTCACGGGGATTCCGCAAACATATTCAACATGATAGGTGCTTTGGCCACTAATTTTAATCCAGATTTAGTTATTTTCGCCAATAGTTATTCTCTATCTCTACTCGATTAGAAAATATCTAGTAGAGATGACGAATACTTTTTGGCTAAATCTGGGATAAGATTAGAGCCAACGCGTTGAAGTTGTAGTGCACAAGAAGTAAAATCCAAGTTTATTGAACTTTTAACTTTTTAAATACGTTTTAGTATTTGAGAATCACGGGTATAAATTTTGATAGGGTTAATTTTACCATTTAGGCCAAACTTATATCACTGTTTTGATTAATACCTAATAATAATATAGAGTTTTGAATTTAAACTTTCTACCAGGGTCACTGCGCTAGGCTTCTGCAAGAGAAGAACAATTCAATCCAAGGTTGAAAGACAATAGTACATTTTCCTCAATCTATCGAGGAGCTATTCGACTGTCATTCTGGACCTACTTTCGTCAGGTAGGTGAGCAACATAAATGTGAATCTTGGGAAAAAGGTATTCTGTGATGCATTTCAGCAAGGAGCCCCTTAGTGGATGCAGGATACTATCTTTATCAGCAAGTAGAAGTTCTCGTCAGGTAACCTGTAGCAATCTAGATTCTAGACAGAAATATGCAGTTCTAGAACCATACTCGTGACCATCTTCTATAATATTGTCAACGCCATAATGTCATTCTGAAGAGATTCCACTTAACTGGTCAATATTGGGATTGTCAGTTGTTCAAAGTGTCAGATTTTCAACCCAATGACAATAATAATAATAATATGTTTATTCTCAACAGTTTAAACCCATACATAAAGAAAATACAAATGATTGTGTGGAATTGGCCGCGGTGGTAGTGCGCCCGACTCACGATCGGAAGACCGTGGGTTCGATTCTCGCCTCGGCCAGATATTTTTCTCGGGAGAATTTATCTGGTTGAAGCTGGGATGATTCTGTAACCGTGTTAGGAATCACACGTTAAAAGGTAAGACCTCGTTAGTCCTTAGCTCGCACAAGTTTCTAAACTTCTGAGAGTTGTCGTTCGTATGGGGGCGACAGCTGATTAACGGAAAAACAGATTTTAAACAGATTTTTTTAAACATATTAGAGAGTGTAATATATAATCATCAACATAAAATTTTTAATAGTTTTTAAAATAAACTGTTTGCTGTCATGATGAATATTGCACAGGTCGGACACTTTATTGAACAACTCACACATCACAAATATCTGCGACTTTTTCAATAAATTTGTCTTAGAATTCCTATTATAGAAAGCAATCATATGCCTGGATTGTGATCTAGGTGCAAGAAACTAAATTTGTCCTAACAAGTCACTACTATCAATTTCGTTATTCAAGAGTTTAGCTAAAAACATAGTAGGGTTGTATTTTCTTCTATCTGCTAGGGCTTTTAAGTTGAATGTGTTCAATAAAATATTCTGGTCTGTGCCCCTAGCTGGATAGAATCAATTGCACTTGAAAACACATGAATTTCAAATACTTACAGTAAACAGATTCTGTTCGCTGAAAGGATTTTTGATATGATGGAGACCAAATTAAAGATGCTTAATCTACCTGACTTCTTACGAAGTACCATAAAAAAATTTGAGAGAATTAATATTTGAAAAGTTTCCTCAGTTTCAACGCCGACGATACAATGTGAGTTATATGAGTATCAAATCTTTAAACGTTTCCCTGTTTTGGAGAGCCGTATTATTTATGGAATATTCGAAAATTATTGGATAAAGTTTTCTGTAGAAAGTCAGTTCTTTGCATTCACCTACATTGAGTTGACTTGTGTTCTCACTACACCAGATATGAATTTCATGTAAATGATAGCAGTCGTCTATGATGCAGTAACCTTCCCATATGAGAGCACCTGATAATACATTATATTCAGCCCTTGGTTAGGTGAATCATCATTTGGAGCAGAAGCTTTTGCTAACCTGCTCAGGAGAAGTTTTTTCTTTCCTGACGCAGAATTTGTGGTTTGATACAGGGCAGATATCTTGCTTTTGAAGTCACTTCCTGGCTGCACTACTTAGCCTGTTAGGTTTGTCAACAGGATCAAAAGTTTTCCAGCTTTTGATCCTTACATGATCATGCTCTTGATTCGATGTTATGAGGGGTAGCGTTGGGATCGTTTCGTTGATGTTGATCTATTATGTACACTCATAGTCGGATTATATATTTCATGGTCCATAAAGGGTCCCACAAGAAGCTAAGGAAAGGAAGTCCATCATGGCAGACTTCCGCATTATAGTGACAAAACTTTATATGACAAGAAGGTATCTGGTATCTAAAAGATACCAGGCGCCTTCAATTAAAATTTTATAGAGAAATAAAATGGAATCAGGGGAACCTCAGCTAACTTGATAGAATCATACTTATATAATAGAAAACAGTACGTGGTCGAAAAATGTCACATCACAAATGAGGTTATAAGGTCTGATGAACTAACAATAATTAGAGGGGTACCACAAGGATTCTTCTTCGGGTGGATTTCGTATACATATTTTTTCTGCAACTTTCAATTTTTTTCTCTAAAATCCACTTCCAATAATTCTATAGACGTAATTTACTGTTAACAAATGAAAATAGATCACTGAAGTCATGTATACTTATTTTTAAAAAAGATATGAAATTGATTTTTTTCATTAACCAGTTGTTGTTCTGATGCAAAAGACATCCCTCAAAAGTCGAGACTTGTGCATGCTAAGGATTATCGATGCTCAACTATTAATGTACCATTTTTAGCACAAAAATATAACAAGAATCAGGGGGTAACAAAAAACTTTCAGAAAGGTAATATGCTTTTCAAATTATTGATAACACATAAATACTTGACCATTCATACTCACCAGATTAGTTGTTTAGGTCTATGTATGGTATCTGTGTCAATTTCACAATATTTACTTCTCAAATCTGTTGAGCCCAACCACAAGTAACCAGAATCTGTGAAAAATGCTAAGTGACGAGCATTTAAGGAAACTGCCATTTTCAATATTGCAGTACAACTGTGGGATATATCAGGTTCCAGCTAAAATGCAAAATCAATTTAAATTATTTTTTATTCACAATAATATGACGACTGTGTCTTAACACTGCAACTATTTTCTTGGATGTTAAAAAAGCTAAATTCCATCTACTAATCCTAGTTTTTTTTAAAGTTGAGCTGGTCGAGCCCCGATACATCAACCAATCACCACTCCACATACCATGGGGTAAGTGATCACTGGGATCGAGAATCATGTGCCTTGAGCAGAAGCAATGAACCAAGAATGACAACCTTTCTCATTCGTTCAGCCAAAATTTCTGCTTCAGTGTGGCGAGCCGGCATTATCTGGAGATTCGAGAGTACAGAGGGCACCATTCATTGATGAAACCAATACAGAAATAAGATTATTTGGAACTTGTAGAAAATCAAAAATAGAAACAAGAGATCAAACAGAGTAGTAAACATTAGTAGCTTCGATCCTCACCTATAGTGCAGAAAAGTAAATTGAACCAGAAAAACAAATGAATTAATAGTTCCAATAATGAACTTTTATTGAAGCATACTAAGTTTATGTACTTGAAAGAATAAAATAAGCTTTGCTATTCTGCAAGAGCTGAATATGTCCTAGCAGAAACAGACCACGGAATAAAATATAAAGAAACTGCTGTCCCTTCTACAACGCTTTACCACACACGACTTCATAAGGAGGTCATTGATATATTACAAGCATCCCAACAATCTCAACAGAAACAAAAGGTACACAAGTCAGCAAAATGTTGTATCCATTCCTCAATAGAAGGCTAGAAATGAACTAGAATACAACTCCATCCGACATCTCTCTAGCAGCATACCTATCAACACCGTGGACCAATTAGAAAAACCTAGCACAAGTGTGAACCAATCAGGAGTGAGCATTTTCCAAGACATCTCACACCCTCCGCCCCCTACCATTATAAATACTAGTGAACACGAGACCCTCCAGTCAGTCATTGCTGAGACTTTGAGATACTATGTCCTCGCAGTCAATGCATACACCACTAAAAATGCCTGCCGCAGTAGCAGACAAAACTTTAGGTACTGCAAGTTCCCTACAACAATAGCCTACCAGCCTGGATTTTATTCTTAGTAATCGTGACTCCAGCCTTGTAAGAATATGTATATAGGTAGGTGAAGTTCATTTCTATTACATTTATTTCCCTATTCTGAGCAAAACTTTTTCATTCCTTTTAGTATATTATCATAGTGAGCTTTCTTTTGCTACTATTTTATTTGATGCTTTTCAGTTTGTATTTCTTAACCCATCCATTTGTGCTCATGCATCACTGTAACGAGTTTTTTTCTGCATGTTTTGAGTTATACAGGGTGTAACTAAATAAGTGTAAAACATTTAAGGAGGTGATTCCTCATCGAAAAAAGGATAGGATCTTTCATATAAAGAAATTTCATTGGAGCATCCCTTGTTAAGATACANATTGGAAATAAATTTTAGGGGTTGCGTTTTCCACCCCTTACAACCATGGGGTAAACCAAATAAATTACTGGCTAAGTTTCTTTTTGGTAGTACAAAACGTCAGGTTAATTTCAATATTGTAACTTTTTCAGTGCTTGTGAAAAAAATTGTTATTCAAATTTTATGTACCCCTTTAAGGGGCTGTATCTTAACAAGGGATGTTCCAATGAAGTTTCTTTATATGAAAGATCCTATCTTTTTTTTGATGATGAATCACCTCCTTAAATGTTTACACTTATTCAGTTACACCCTGTATAACTCTTCAATTAGGACGCGTCCGCCTTATTGGATTTAGAATGTATACTGTTCATATTCTGCTCATCAAACCCATTCATTTCAATATAAATGTGTGAGTAAAATTACAGCTAAATCATTCGAGATTAACTAGTCCAAAATTCAGTTTCAAGATTTGTCCCACTCTCACATACTAACAAGTCAAGTTGTATAAAAGTTTGTAAAAAAGACAAAATGTCAGCAATCAAAACGGGGTTCTGAAGAAGAATATAACTAAAATCAATAATAGACAAAATCAGAGACATAATACAAAGACAGATTATTGAAGTAAACCCCAACAGAAGACAAAATAAAAATTATCAAACTGGTGAAAAGAATGTTCAATAATAATGAGAAAAGTTTTTGAAAATAAGATCAACAAGAGAGTAGAACATGTTTCTAGGATATAGACAGATAAGTAGTTGAAAGAAGAGAAACTGAAGATTAAGAAACCCAGATTACTCGATGTAAAAGGAGTAAAAGAATGATCAAAACTACGACCCCATAAAACACTAAACCCCTCAAAGCCTTATATCTCAAAGAGTTTTTAGACATGACAAAAATTATAAAATTGCCTCTCTAGTTTGTACCCGATTTCCATGTCTAACAAACTCTACCCCCATATTGAAGTATTTTTTTAGAGCTACCGTCAATTGTCCTAAAAGACATTATAGTTTAGGCCTCCTTGGAGGTATCACACATAAGATTAGTAAAACTTAAAGGTTGAACTGGTTTTTAAAAGAGATTGTATAAAGATGCAATATTCCAATATTTGATATTGGTATTTAATATAGTTATATGATTTATTGAGCCTTGTTTATTCAGAAAATTTCATATTCTAAAGATTCAACACAAATTCGATGTTATAAAATTTATGGAAAATGTATACCTACCATAGCACTGGTATGATGTTCATCTTGTTTCAATCTATAAAGTTCCATTCCTCTAGCAATCAGGACTTCTGTGACTTCTTCAGAAACAACTACCCAACTGGTGGGAGGATTACTAGACCCTTCAAAACAGAAATGTTTCATTGAAAAAAGAAAATGTCAGTTATTCACGAAACCTCACTTGGTAAATCCGACAACTGTCTAGTTTTTGGTTCCTTTATATTATTAACAATAAATATTTTGTAATTGGAAGTCATGACAGCTATTCCTGTAAAATTTTGCGGACTGGTGAATATTACAGCATCTATAACCTTGAGGTCCTGTACTTTTTGACTTATACCAAAAAGATGAAGATATTTTCCAAACATATTATGTGTTACTACAGTGCCATCTTCCTGGATACAAATTAGCTCCTCATCTTACCATTTAACTGAGAAAGAAAACTGATTTCTGTGTAATACATTATCTATAGAAGAATATAGTTTCAGATGAAACCATTCTTTCACTTTTATCAGCATCAGAAAAAAATATTTGTGCATATTTACAATTTCCTAAAGTTTTAACTGAAATTTGTTTCATTGTTTTGTTGTTTTACATATACTGATAACTAGTGACATGCTCCATCTTGACGCGGGTGCAATTTAGAGTTATAATCAACATCTTGCAGATTTATTTGTTATATTTACAGAAATTTCTTTATATGCGGTAGCTCTTTCCCGCGACTCCATACGAGTGAACTACAGAATGTCACTAATTTAGCCGCTTAGATCCAATCCAATAGGCCTAGTCTAGAATTAGGCTTTCTGATGGTGAAAAACTATTAATAGTAGTAGTAACACAGTTTAACAATTACAACTGATACTCCTCGGCTTCGCACCATAAATATGTACTTCATTTAGACGAATAGAACATACCCACAATTCCGTAAACGAATATTTTGTTGTGGGGATCATTCTCGCCGGCAGAATGATCCCCAGAATGATATTACCTGGCCAGCTGCAGTTCTGCAGCTGGCCAGGTAATATAAGAGCATTTTAGCAAAAGAATGTTCTGTTTGTACCAAAAATGATTGCAAACAATTTGTTAATGTGGCTGAAAATAATGTTTCTCAAGATCCCTCCCAATTCTGGAATTTTGTACAACATAAAAAAGTAACAGTAAGATAATAGGTGAAATGAAAGATGAAGAGAAATCTCATTTGAAGCCGCATGATATTGTTGATGCTTTCAGCTCCTACTTTACTTCTTAAACAACTCATCAAATATCGATTTCTGTAACAAACTTGAAATTAAATATAGTTAAATATCTTTTATCGACTCAAGGAAGATATTATTAACTTTATTCACTCAGAATTATTGAGAAATCTCAATTTCATGCAATTTCTCTAAACTATTTGAAACTATTTTATCCGTCTTCATTTGTGATTCAACTGAAAACATAATATCTGTGGAACAATATGGTTTTCAGGTAGGAAATATTGTATAAAAAATATTTCTTGTCAACATTTGATCAAAAACTAATCCACTGATGTACTTTTTTTTCATACGACTAGCAATGCTTTTGAAGAGAAAATCTCGATATTTTATACGTTTTTCCTCCTCTTTTTGGACGATATTTGTCTTGCCAAAAGCTGAAAACTCCACGACAAATATCGCTCTGGTGGTCGAGAAATACTAAATCAGGCTTACTAGCTTGTATGAACCCGAGGGTGGGGAAGGAGTAATTCCAATGAATTCGGCACTTCTCATTCAACACAGCAAGCACATTAGGGTTTCAGACGTTTCGCAGCAGGCCCTGTACCTTGTGTCATTAGTATTATTAGGAATATAAGCCACTGAAAGTTTAATTATATGCTAGCAAAATTGATCGATTTTTAGGACTTCTGATATCAAATTTTGCTCACAGGGAAGCTCTTAGTTTAGTAGCTTACTGAACTTCAGTTGATTGTTCATGTTCCCATAAATAAAATATTGTTTTAATAAAATAGCCTTATCCTAATTGACTGGCTGCTAATCTGCCGGTGAGAAGTCGCTACAAAAAATGTTAGTGTTAGAAATTGTTGCTATGTTTTTTTGTAGAAATAAAGTACTGAATTACTTTTGTCCTTTATTTTATAACTCATATGTGAAGTTACTTAATAAAGGATAAATTCCATTTCTTGACGTTTTGGTAATGAGGAGCCAATATGGAGGGCTAGAATACGATATATTTAGAAAGGAAACAAGCACGTACAGGTATATTCCTGACAGTTCCATCACTGTGGACAGTACAAACGTGCTGGGCTGAATTTTCTAGTGCATCATCTTTTGACTTTTCTCCTCACACATCAGAGGTTCACAAAAGAAAAACGTACAATACAGGAAATTGCGGCCAGTAACGGTTTCTCGAGAGATATTATAGATGATATAATAAGGAAGAAAAAGTTTAGGTTAAGAATGAACTAAATGTCAACTTTTAAAAGCGAAGAAAACCAAGATAAATATATCTCAATTCTATACCATCAATACACGAAGAACTTTGGAAAGATTTTAAGAAACTAGATATAAAGGTAGTTTTTAAAACAAGTCATATACTACAGAGCCTTTTAGGAAGTCAAAAAGACAAAATCGAGAATTTGGAAAAGTCTGGAATTTATGAAATTAAATGTAAGGACTGCAATGCAAAATATTAAGGACAAACAAAAAGATCTATTGAACTAAGATATAAGGAACACTTAGCACACCTAAAATATGGAAAACCAGAAAAATCAGCAGTTGTTCATCATATTTTCAACAAAACCATCCCATAGACTTTAGTTCATCAAGATTAGTTAGACAAGTCAACAACAACAGGCATCTAAATGCCTATGAGAGTGTAGAGTGTAGAAATAAGTGAACATAATAATAATAATATGAATAACGATGGTGGACCAATACCTAATAATATACTATATAGCTTGTTAAAATATTTTAATTATTAGATTTACCTGATTATTAAATAAGGACACATTGTAAAATTAATTTAAGGCAATATTGTGAAATTAATTTAAGACGCTCAAGACACGGGTACCTAGAAGAGGTATCTATGATATAAATAAGGATAACATTGTAAGTACATTTGGTTTTATTTTCCTCTTGAAGATGATCACTTGGTGATCGAAACACGTGCCGAGGTGGTAAAATAATGGTTTGGTGTTGGGAAAAACTCCAGTAATATTCATTACTACAACAAAGGTTCCAAACTATACATCACAAGTATTTAACTAAATGTCAACATTCTGTCTTTGACATTTAGGGTTAGAGATAATAAGATCAAAATAACCAAAACTTAAGTCACCTTAAATGAAGCAATTTGTTTTCCAGATCCAGTAAATATGGACACAATAGGCTGCCCAGTTCCCTGAACTTTCACAAATTTGCCTTCATCTCTTCTCATTGCTATAGGCCCTCCATAAGAAGCAGAGGATATTATGAAATTTTCTAAATTTACATTTTGTTGCCAAGCCATGGAATATACCTCGAATTTTCTGTAAGTTTATGTGATACATATTTATTTCCTATATCCATATTTAACTACAAATAATTCACACCTGTAATATAAATCTCTCCCCAATAAAAACCAATCAAGGGTTATCATTGCCGCCGACATTTCAAGACAAAATTCCTGAAATAGTATAAATCTCGAAAAAGTTTTGAAAAGAAAATAGTCCTTAATCAAAATTGTTATTGTTTATAATATGTCATGAAAAATGACATATCACAGCATGACCACAGTAGACAGCAGGGAACTCTATAGTCTATACTATCTGGAACGGACCCGACAGTGTTGCCAACAGGATGAATAATAATAATAATAATAATAGTTTATTGAAATAGGAAACCTAATTTACATACAAAAATTACATGTAGAAATATTAAAAAAAAAATTACATTGACTTTCTGACAAGACCAATATTAAAAAATACAAATAAAAATAAGTATATGGGTAGTTACATATAAATTTATCTAAAGACAAAACAATATAAAATATAAAATAGGTATCAAATTCATTTCACAATTTGTATGAATCTGATAAGGCGTTATTTGAATTCCTTAACAATCTGAGCTTTTTTAATATCATTCGGTAATTTATTGAAATCGTTCAAACCACTATAGAACATGGACTTCATAGTACTTGACAGATTGCATCTAGGTTAATAAAAATTTGCATTATTTCTTGTAGAATATCTATGAATATCAGAGTTGAAAACCATGAAGTCATTAAAATAGGTAAGGAGATGATTGTTTAAAATTTTAAAAATGAAAATCATTGTATTTAGATAACATCTATCTCTCACGGAGAGCCATTGAAACTGATCCAGCATTAATGATATATTTGTATAACGGTTGCATTTTAATATTATACGCATACCTCTATTCTGCAGTTTCTGTAAAGCTGATATTTTATTACATGAATGATTTTGCCTAAAGCCAGACTGATTTGACATTAGTATATTATTGACATTCAAATATCTCAGTAATTGTTTATATACGACAGATTCTAGTAGTTTCTCACTTCCCGGTAATGTATTAAAATTGGTCGAAATTCACATGATTTTATGGAATTTGGAATGTTTTGTATTAGTACAACTTTACTAGTTTTCAAGTCATTTGGAAACTTTCCATACGATAAAGAACTGTTAATAAAGTGAACTATAAAGTCGCTACTCGTGCTGTTCACTGCCTCTTCTTCTACCATATTTTTTTCAATATTGATTATTTGTAGAAAATTCCGCTACTTTATGTTCAAATCCGCTAGCCGCTACCGTCGAGTAAATTCCGCTAGAGTAGCGAATTTCGCTACGGTTGGCAGCTCTGGGACACGACCCGTTTTCTGTAAAGCACAAAGTGTGTCAGGAGCAGTTGAAAGAGAGATAGCATTATTTACGGTAACCTTTCTTTGTCATACTCAAGCAAATAAGTTATGGTTTGATGCATAAAATACCTTTCAGGTATAAATATTTTAATCTGTGGTATAAATTCCGCTAATTCTGGGATTACATTTGTCCAAGAGTATTATATTTGTAAAGATATACATTTATTTGTTCTAATTTCGCTTCCTTTGTCGTGTGTGGTTTGATGAACGCTTAATTTTGCTGGTGTTATTTGTTATTGGTCATAGTTCTGAATAACAATGGTGATCTATTGGGTAGCATTTGGATGCAAGAATGAGCATTAGTGTGAAGTTACCCACAACTTTTCATCCACAGTTTATGACGAAGGACAATCGAACAGGGTTTAGAATGAGATTTACGAACAGTGTTGCCAGATTGCAAATATTAAGAATTTTACCTGTATTTCGATGTTATCATTTTAAAAACACGATATATTATTGAAACATGTCGAATAAATTAATATATCGTGTTTTTAAAATGATAACATCGAAATACAGGAAAAATTCTTAATATTTGCAATCTGGCAACACTGTTCGCAAATCTCATTCTAAACCCTGTTCAATTGTCCCTCGTCATAAACTGTGGATGAAAAGTTGTGGGTAACTTCACACTAATAGAATGAGCAGGATTATCGCCGAATACCTTTTCATGGGTACATTTATGATATTTGGAATTGGATATGAAGATAATCAATTTATCAACATTTCAAGCAATATTGAAAGTGAATGTTTATTTGTTACAGTTTTTCTTTCAAACGACCAGATATCCTGAAATTGTGGATGAAAGCAGTTCGCAGAGAGAACTGGACTCCACAAACAAATAGCAAACTTTGTGGTGAACATTTTCTTCCGACGGATTATGTGATCAAATCAGGATGTAGGTACTGCTAAATTATTAAAACCAAATGCTGTACCAACTATATTTTCATACCCAGAGCATTTGTCACAAGAAACTGCTGAACCTCGTAGGAAAATAAAAAAAAATACATCTGTTTTGGATGATGGAAAATGATAGAATTGGAAAGGGATGTAACAGAAAGTCAAGAGCAAATATTGAGTGACACCATACAGGACTACAAAGACTGAACCTACTATTCCTAGTCCTGTAAAGCAAAAAAATATTGAAAACGTTGAAAAGTATTCAGGCCCTTTTACAGAATCACCGGCAATAGTAGAAGAAAAAATTATCGGGGAAGACTTTCCAGATGATTTCATTGATATTTCTGTTAGTAAACACATTTCTTCTGTGTTAAAAATGAGGTCGTTTCAAAACAAACAATCTTCACCTGATAATTGTGGGGCAATCAAAGTTGTTATGCTTTCGAAAAATTCAGTCAAAACTCACTTCTGTGGTAAAAGTTGTCAAGTAAATATTTCAGCACCAAGCTATAACATAGTAGAACCGACGAAAAAAACTTATGATGATATTGATTTAACTTGAGATGAATTATTTATATAAACCTTTGAGTTAGTTCAAAGTGAAATAGAATTCTTGTAGACCAATTCTTATACTTTAAAATGTTTACTTTTCTAAATTGTTCTTATTTCACTGTGACTATCTGTGATACAACAGATAAATAAACTTCTGTATTGTAACTAAAAAAAAAATTTGGAATTTCATTGAAATTTTGTTTTGTTTTGTCTGTTACTAGATCACAAACATTATGATCACAAGTTCTCATATAAGTGCCTACTACAAATTAAAAGTTTTTATTTGATGTTTATTAATCAAATATACCTAATACCTCTCAAACTATTTCTCAATTATTTATGCCGTGCTGAACCTATAAGTTACAGGAAAATGTATTCAAGAGGTGTATTTGTAGCAGATACTGTATTTCATCAATGGCTTAACGAATAAACAAATGAATAATTCAATTAATTGATGTGTTCTTATTTGTAGCACATTTTCTGGATGTCATTAACCAAACAAAAAATGTGCCAATAGTCATTTCCAACCATAATCAGATTATCAGAAGATTTAATCAGTTTAATTTGCAGTGACGCAATCAAAGACTTAATTAAAAAAACAATTGGAATATTCTTGCATTCTTGAGTGAACTTAGCATCTGATGTCAGCGCCCAAATCTAGCGCCCGCTCCCCACTTTTGAGTCTGATTTACACCACACAGCTAGTGGAATGTTGATTCATGAAGATCACTAATTTGGCAATCAATATTTTCAACATGGTTAGTTCCTTTCAGAAATCGACTTCAAACTTGAAAATATTATTATACTGCATAAAGCTTTTATAATCTGTATTATGACGACGTGACATTAACGTGGATGTGATAGATATAAAACACAACCTCACTATTGGGTCACAACTGGTGGAATTTATAAGCAAGTGAATTGGAATATTTCGCTTCCCAAACTGTGAATTGTCATCAATTATGTCCGAGTGAAAACTGGAAAACTGTTATAAGAGAGAAATGATGTACTGAAGACTGAATTTTCAGTCCTTCAAAATACCGGAATCATACCAAAAAAACACCCCTTCCACATTAGATATTTAATTTTTTTCTTTCCCAAACTGACTCGTATTCCTGAATACGACACAGTGGAAAATGTTATTGAGGATATGATATACTGAACACAGAATTTTCAGTCCTTCAAAATACCGGGATCATACCAAAAAAACAACCCTTTCACATTAGATATTTAATTTTTTTTCTTCTCAAACTTGACTTGTATTCCTGAGTACGACTCAGTGGAAAATGTTATTGAAGATATGATATACTTAACACAGAATTTTCACTCCTTCAAAATACCGGGATCATACCAAAAAAGACACCCCTTCCACATTAGATGTTTAATTTTTTCCTTCTCAAGCTGGCGCGTATCCCCGAATACGACTTAGTGAAAAATGTTATTGAAGAGATGATATACTGAACACTGAATTTTCAGTCCTTCAAAATACCGGGATCATACCAAAAAAACACCACTTCCAGATTAGATGTATGATTTTTTCTTTTTCAAACTGGCTCTTTTCACTCAATATAAGCTAGTGAGAAATGTTACTGAATAGATGAACACTGAACATTGAATTTTCAGTCCTCCAAAATGATGGTGTCATAGAAAAAAAATTATATATGTCAGAAGAATATTTTTTCTCTGTAAACTGAAAACTCTGAAAAATTTTAGTAGTTATGATTTGGAAAGAATATAAATATTCGTTAAATTCGAAGGTGCAGATAATATGAATTGCGTAAACTGTGATCTTTGTAGAAGTTGGATTCATTTAAAGTGCGATACAAGTCAATTCATCATTTTCAGTGAGGCTTTGGATACTCCAGGGGTTACATATTATTGCCCTATTTGCACCAGTAATTTCAATGTGAAGTCGTATTTCAAATTAGAGCATCAGGATATCAAGTCAAATGATCTCATGAAAAAAATTTACTATTACAGGTCTAATGTTTATTTGGGAAACTATGTTGTTGCACGGTATAACTGCACTTATAATTTAACAATTGAAGATCATTCAACTTTGGGCAAATTTTCGTATATTTCCAACATTGCCTTCTTCATAATCGCTGACCTTTTGCATGCTGATTTCCGAAATCATTATGTGAAAACATGGAAATATATAAAACACAACTAATGTTTTCGAAACCTAACAAACTAGATACAGAGTTTTTCGGAGATGATATTTTTTAAGACCTTCATGGATCTTATACCTATCTTGCATAACAGACACTTTACGCTTATCGATCCAAACGGAGCAACGAAAACAATATCAATACCTACAATATGTTTGAGAAATTCAGAAAATTCATTATCATGTTAAATGGTCATGTAATAACTTGGCTGAATTTAAAATAAAAAACGAAAATCATCCCAAACAATCCGACTCTTTCAATTGTGG